GTTTGTGTGTGTGTGTGTGTGTGTGTATGTTTGTTTGTCTGTGTGTGTGTGTGTGCGTGTGTGCGAGTCTTCCGGAGTGTGTTTCTGTTTGTCTGTCCTCGTCTCCGGCGATTTCCTTAATCTGTCTGCGGTCGAAGAGCCTATTTTTGTTGGTTTTTGAAGTGTTTTGGTGTTTTTTTAGTTCTTTATTCTTCTCATTTTTCTCGGTGTGATCGGCCTCCTTTTCTGTCGTTGTCCCTGGTTCGATGTTCTTGTTCCCTTTGCTACCCTCTCTCTCCCTTTTGCCTCCCTCTCCCTCTGCTACCCTTTGCTACCATTTCTCTTCGCTACCATCTCCCTCCAGTCTTCCTGTGCTCCCGCCCTTTGCTTCCCTAATCCTGTTTCGCTGCCCCTTGCTCTTGTCCGTTGCTTACGTGATCTTCTGTTTCGCTGCCCCTGTCCTCGCTTGTCCCTTTGCTTTTCTCTGTCCCTTAATGGGAGGGGCTTGTTGTTTTGATGGGGTAGGTGGTAGCGATTTTGAGAAAATATACATGCACTTTCCCGGCTGAATGGTCCAGGTGCGTGGTTGCACGTGCTTGTGTATTCGAATAGGTAATCTCGGAATAACGCTTAGAGTTGTTCTTTGCAGCGTCTCGGCACTTTCTTGTCTGTCCATTTGCCTCTTAAACCCTTTCCATTTTGTTTCGCATTTATTTTGATCAGATCTGGTTGCGTCTGGATTCGAACTTGGGTCTGTGTTTCAACAGTTCATGTGTGTGCGAACTGATGAGGTTGTCCCGTTGGTACCGTTGGTCCCCAGGTGTGATTTTTGAAATGCTGCAGGAAAACTTATCGGAAGAATGTGAGGTTATGGAGTCGAATTTGGGACTTGGGTCTCCTTTCTCCTCTCTCCTGTTCCCTGTCTTTTCGGCTCGAGTAGTTGGTTCTTGGCAAAAGTACCCACGAGTTTGGAACCCGAATGCAATCAGATGAGCAGAAAATACGTAATACTAGTAATGCTGAAACACCTGGCGTAGGGTGTCGTCGAATACCAAGAAACTAGGAGGAGAAGCTGATTTTTGTCAGCCCACTTTTAGTTCTTACCGACATGACTTTTCGAAATTTTTGTAAGGTTTGTCTAAAGGGTGCGTGTTTTTCTGAGTTCTTTATCGTGTGCAAGGAGCCAGCTTTGTCTACAAAATTATGTTAAGGTTGTGGGTCTTTCCGTGTTCTGTATCATGTATATGGAGCCAGCTTGCACCGCGCGGCGGCAGTGGGACCAAGCAATCCTGCTGACGAACCTGGCGATCGTCGGGCGGCATCCCCTTCCTTGAACTGATGATGCTAACGTTGTTGCAGCTCGAATATATCTTCCTGCTTGTCTCTTTGCGCTCCTTATTCTCGCCTCGGAACAGAGGCGATGTGGGTTATTTCCTCCTATCCTCTGTTCTGGAGGGGATGGGGTTTATTTCTCCTATCCTCTCTTCTCCTGTTCTCTGCCGCCTCCTTATTTATCTTTGAATCTGGGATATCGGGTGTCGTATCTGGACCTCGTAATCGGTCCGATGCATTCCAATTTTTGGACTCCAAATATTGATCCAAAAAGGCGTCCAAATGAGTTTAAGAGTGAGTAGTGGAGCGAGGATTGATGATGGCCCGTCATCGATCATTTGGTATCTTTATCATTGTCTACGGTGCATGGTTCTCATCCTCTCTGTAGCAAGGCCCTTAGTCTCTCGCCAAAACCCTTGGTTCTCCATCTGCTCTGCCTCTATTCTCCTGTTCTCTGCCTCTGTTCTACTGTTCTTATTGATCTTTGAACTGTTTACATTCCCGCTGTCGTCATATCGCTCATTATCATCATTTTCGTACGGCCGTAACACACTGGCTTCGCTCCATGTAGTGTTGTGCACTGGAGCGAAGCCAGTTTGTCATGGCCGTACGAAAATGAGGACAATGAGAGACATTGCCACGATATGACGACAGCCGGAATGTAAAGAGTTCAAAGATCAATAAGAACAGTAGAAGAGAGGCAGAGGATAGGAGAAGAGAGATAGAGCAGATGGTAGGGCCTTGCTGCAGAGAGGATGAGAACCATGCACCGTAGACAAATGATAAAGATACCAAATGATTAATGAACGGGGTGCAGAAAGCGTCCAGATGCATGTAGCGTATTAGAAAGTGCAGCAATGCCCTTAGTATCTCGCCAAAACCCTTGGTTCTCCATCTGCTCTGCCTCTCTTCTCCTGTTTGTCTTTTTGTCTTGTTCTTATTGATGTTTGAACTCTGTACATTCCCGCTGTCGTCATATCGTGGTAGTGTCTCTCACAGCCTCATTTTCGTACAGCTATGACAATGAAAATGTCAGCCATGGCTAAAAAAAAAGTCAGCCATTAGAAAAACGTTGTCATGGCTGTACGCATATGTGGACAATTACAGGCCCTGCCATGGCTGTACGAAAATGAGGACAATGAGAGACTGCCACGATATGACGGCAGCGGGAATGTTAAGAGTTCAAAGATCAATAAGAACAGGACAAGAGGCAGAGAACGGGACAAGAGAGGCAGAGAACGGGACAAGAGAGGCACGGGAGAAGAGAGGTAGAGCAGATGGAGAATCGAGGGTTTTGGCGAGAGACGAAGGGCCTTGCTGCACTTGCTAATTCTCTACATGTATCTGGGCGCTTTCTGCACCCCGTTCAAACAAAAAATGGTGGAATCGTCCGAGTGCTCCTGGTCCGCGAAGGGTCTAAAATCAGTAGTGTTGTGGATTGTAGGTGAGCCAGTGTGTCATGGCTGTACGAAAACGAGGACAATGAGAGACACTGGCACGATATGACGACAGCTGGAATTATTTAGCACGGTGGCAGTGTCTCTCATTGCCCTCTTTTTCGTACAGCCATGAGACACGGTATGCTGCCTTTATTTTCGTCTTTCCAATCTGAGAAAGTTCATTCCAAACGAGCCCAATAGCCCAATGCCCAAGGCTTACATTAATCGCATATAAAGTATACCTTGAAAGTTCCCGAGGTTACGTGGCCTCGGATCTGCTCTTGTTGTCCCCATTTTTTTAAATAATTTGGACCATTTCTCGATTTATGCGTGTCATCCTTGCGCAGGGGCCATGTTTATCTTCTCTGTATTGTTCCAATTTTAACGGATGTCCCGAAGGACTGTTGTCCCCATTTTCGGTTTTTGTGATCTGTTCTCTTCTCCTGTTCTTGTTGATCTTTGAACTCCTTACCTTCCCGGTCTTGTTGTCCCCATTTAGTAGGAATGTCTCTTTACCTTCTCTGTTCTCTTCTCCTGTTCTTGTTGTCCCTAAGTGTGAATGTCTGTAATTGTCCTGATTTTCGTACAGCGATCACGGACTGTATGTTGCCTGTTGCTGTTTCTTCCCCCTTTTTTTATGCTTTTTTAAATGTCTTGGAATTCATTTCAGACGGGGCCAGTCCTCGTTCGTTCATCAACCATGCAAAATATTCTCAGACTCAGGGGCCAACTGGCCTCGAACCCTACACCGCAGGTAGAGCCTTTCCCCAACGGCAAATCCCCAGAAAGACGAAGTTTCAGAAACCTGAAAACGTAACGCATGACGAGAAAATTCCAAACTAGGCGAGGACGAATCTCAGAAAAAAGAAAAGTATTGAACACAGTTCACCATTAAAACCCTAATAGCCACCCGACCACCGGAAACCCCGACCAATGGAAAACGAACGCCATCCCCGTTATTGGTTTTTGCCCATGCTCTCTCACAAACGGGCGTTCTGTTCGGGTGAGAGGACTGTCCTCGAACGATTGATCTGTCAAATGGCCAGTTTTCCTGGAGCTATATAGCCTACCAGAGTTGCCCGGGGCCAGTTGCCCGGCCGGGCCAATTAAAAAATAAACGTTATTTTTAAAAATTTGGTAAGTGCGATGTGACCCTGAGGCAAAAGTTGCTCAGTTTATTTCTCTGCATAACGAGTTTTTTTGCGGATTTTTTTTTTTTTTTATTATTGGTTAGGGCCGTCTTTGGGCATTGCACGGCCGGCCATCCGGGAAAATAGAGTGACCCGGGCGGCTCGGCTGGTAGTCTAGGGAACGATTGAAATTCTTGATCTCCTCTGTACCAGTCACTTCCCTGTCGGAATCTAATATGCGTTCGAGCTTTTCGATTTCTGTGTTAGTGGTCTGTATCCTCCCTCATTTATCTCTTCTCTTAATCTTGATCCCCTTTGTATCAGTCACTTCCCTCTCTGAATCTCCTATGCTTTCGAGCTTTTCGATGTCTGTGTTCGTCTTCTGTGTTATCAGTTCCTCTGCTCCCGACTGTTTGAGATGATGGAACGCATGGTGAAAAAATGTCTACATCCAGGCGTATGCCCTCGTCCTCGCGGGCAAATGTAATCTTCTCTCGGGGAATGAAATCTTTATTCAGCGGCGTTCTCTTGCTCTCCTTTCGGTATGCCGCACTTGGATGTCGAAGCTACCTACCGTCTTCCCCCGAATACAACATTCAGTCTAGATACGGCGAAATTGACCGCACGTTCTATTCGGGTGATGACCGTATTCATATGCCTTTCACAAATTCCAAACGTAAGAGAGATTGGACCTTTTTGTGTCGAGTATTTGTTCTCCTTTTCTTTTTCTTTTTTGTAATTTAGTAGAGTCGCAAAAACGAGTTATAATTTCACTACGGGGTAAGATACAGTTTGCAATTGCACTTCGGGCACCCTATCTGGCCAGAAAGCTGGGTTGTATACATTGCCCGAACTGCAATTCCAAACTGTATCTAGCCCGTAGTGCAATTAT